GCACAAAAGCACTTTACCCACAGAGCCATCTCCCAATCTCCAGTACCATGTTATTTCTAAAAATAATACATGTAGGATTTGCATAGCCCATTTCACTGACTTTGTCAGTTTTTCAACCAGTTGACATAGCAATTCTTTAAAACACAGACTAAAATGATAAGCTCATGAGGGATGACCCCAAAAGAAATCCACAGGTGATTTTCCTCTGTCTCCATATGATTCCAAGCCCATCAAATAACTTGTCTACTTTAATCAACAAGAAAAATATATACAGCAACTTGAGCATGTTTTATTAAAGTCATTTTTCATGTCTTTCATCAGATTGGGACCATTCTCTAATGGAAAGTCAGAGTCTCCATGAAAGAAGCTGCTCATTGTTTGCTTTTGAAAGGCCTCATATTATGGCCGGCACATATAAACTTACAAACCATACCCACCCACCCACCCACCCCCACACACGCACAAAGAGGGAGAGACAGAAACAGAGAGGCAGAGACAGAAAAATAGACAAACACACAGAGGGATAGAAGGAGGGAAAGACAGACAGGAGAGGGAATACATAATTCACCGAACACTAAGGTCAGTTAGAGATACTTAAATACATTTTAATAACACTTACTACTGAATTTTTCTAATGCCAGAACATATCTCCAAAGGATTTTCTTTAATTATCTGAAGAAAAATAAAAAGATTTTAGGCAAATTGTATATTATTACTTTTTTTAATGGAAAAAGGAGTCAGAAACAGAAGCCACTGGCTATTAGGCATGTAGAAAGACATGATCTAAAACGAAGGACTTATGCACAGACCTCAGTATCCAAACATGTGGAAGTCACACAGGCTTTATACATTCATCTTCAAAGCTTGATTAGAAGACAAACAGACATCCTATCTTCACAAGCCCCTACTATTTCATAGGTTTTGTTTTGTTTTATACTATTTAACTTGATCCTCTAGTCTTCCATTCATATTTGATGTGTGAAGAGCACCTTGAAGCAAGTATTATATTCTACTTTAGTATTATTCAAAATGGCAATTATTTCACTATTGATTTAGCCATGCATGTGCAAAATGAATGGCAATACATTCTTATTCGTCTGCATATTTACAAGCATAAACTATGAAATAGTTTTGACTAAAACATTCTGAAATCTTCTCTTGCCAAAACCTTGAAAGAAAGTCTCTCTCTCTGTGTGTGTGTGTGTGTGTGTGTGTATTAAGGATAATATGAATATTATCATTATTAAAGAATGTCTTGAATTCTGAACACAGCCTATATGGATAGATGACTAATCTATGTGATTGAACAGTTAAAGATTTTTAATTATTTTTATTTCATGCCTGAAACATTGACTCCTTTGGGCTTGTGTTTCTATAAATGGCAGTAAAAAAATAAGTCTTCATAATACATTCTAAATGACTGTGTGAACGTCAAAGAGTATTTTCCAATAGAAAGAAAATATAAATCTTTTATGCAGCTGAGTGCTAAAACAAATTATTGATCAATGTCAACAGGTGAAATAAAGACAAATGGCCCTTAATCAGTGTCTGTGTAAATACATCAACCACAAAGAGACTATTTCTCTGGAACATTAAGAAAAGCCATATGGACTTTTGTCATTCAACCCTTCACAGACTTGGTGTGAAAATCCAGAAGCATAAGGGAATCTTCTATGGTATTTTAAAACTTAGGTTATACATTTTGCCTGGAACTACTTATAGAGACCAATGATGGCTGTTTTTAGAAAGTCACTGTGGTTGCTTGGGCGAGTGTCAAGGCAACACTTTCCAAAATAGAACAACAAGGAAGATTTGCACGTCCCCATGGCATTTGAACTTGATGGAGTCTGCACTTACTTGAAGATCAACAGCTCTTATTGGTTTAAGGGGGACTTATTTCTGATCTAGATACAAATGATTCTCAACGATCTGAACTCACTCATTGCCTTCACATGATCTAACATACTGTAGTTCTGACCTCTCCCTTCCTTGTCATTTTGCCCTCATTGGAAGTGGGTTGCTCAGCCTGTTTAAAGCTGTTATTGTTCATTGCATATTATTCATCAGCTATTGATTGTGAAGCACAGGATATAGTGATATAATTATGTGTTATTATTAAATGGATAATGCATACAAGTAATAGACAATATGCCCAGCCCTGACTCAAAGGTCAATAAATGTTAGTCATGACTATCATCATTACTACATGCTACCCACTGCTTTTGCTTAGCAATTGAATCAGCCTCTTAGAAACAATGCTCATTGTGAAATAAAACTTCTACTTTAAATTTTTCTTTTCTTTCTTTTGCAGCTGTGGAGGAAGGGTCATTTTTCATTCTAGACAGCTCTTATCTCAGTCTCCTGATCAATGTTTCAGTACTTGTTTTTTTTTTTTTTTTTATACTTGAATGCTGAATTTTCCACTCACTGTTTTTCAACAAAGATCATTAAGGCTATCTTCTATCTTGATTATACAAAGTATCACTTAAGATTTATAGAAATTCATGGGATCTGAGTTCAACCTTTAGGACCCAAGTAAAAAAGGAAGTGGTGTTGTGTGTGCTTGTGATACCAATGTTGGAAAGGAGGATACAGGAAGATCTAGAACATGCTGGCCAGCCAGCCTAGCCTACTTAGTGAGTTCTGGGGCAAAGGAGGACCCTGTCTCAATAACCAAGGATGACACATCCTGAGGAACTACCACCATGTTTTACCTCTGACTCACACAGGCATGCACTTACACATGCATTCTCACAAGCAGCCATCATTTCTATCCCATCTCCTCCAAGTGCTCTCTTCCTTCCTCACTTCCTCTAAGACTTATGACCTCTTCTACAGTTTTACACACACACACACACACACACACACACACACACACACACACACACAGGCACACAGGCACACAGGCACATACACACATACCTATTGTTTTCACCCGATGAGTCCATTTAGTGTTGATCATATGTACACATACTGTTATACACAGAATTTGGTTGTAGTTGGGATTGGATAACCTATCAGGCTAACACAGGAAATTTCATCACTTAAATATTACATTTCCATAGTTATATTAATCCCCTCTTTTTACTCTTTCTTTATACTGTTACACATGGCCCTTTCTCTTATCTGGTTTTGTAGTCTGGTTTTCTATGACGTAAATTGCATGTAGTTCTAGCAGCTGGCCTTCTTGATCTGGTCTTCCTGTCTATCAGGCATTCCTTTTCAAGTTATACTTTAACCAATGTGAAATTTCAAGGTAAAACCAGACAGGATTATGCAATATATGGGCACTCCCGCCTTAATCATCTTCCTCTGTCTTTGGTTATTTATCAAGAATCTGCTTGATGTGACCAACGTGTTTTTCCTATTAGTAAATGTTTAATAAAAAATTAAATGTCTATTTTCTTGATGATGCAAAAAACAAAACCCTCTTTGACTTCCATTAGTGATTCCCCCATCCCATGCTACAATATCTGCATACACATCATTTTAGCACACACTCTGTTCAGTACTTCAGAATCACAAAGATCATATTTTCAAACACCTCTCCCAAAGTATGGATCTCACTTAGAGAGTCCCATTTTTTTTTCTCTAATATTTTTAGATTTGATTTTCTTTGCTACTTGAGGACACTAAAATAGCCATTTAGGGGCTGCTTTGTCACTGGAAAGTCTTTTTAAAATTACAAACAGTTGTTACTCTGTAATTTTTACCACTGACATTCTTCTATTTATATACTTGGCTCATACTGACCTGAATCATGTAGTCCTCTGATATAAGATTACATAGAAAAAAAATTACCTTCTCTAAGCAAGAACTATGTCTAAATTCACCCTGTATGATAAAGGTCAAAGGTTATGTGTCCTTCACAGAGCCTATACTAAGGTTAAACAAATCCAGAAGCCTTTACTTTTTCTGCTAAGATCTATAAAACAGCACCATTTGTTTATTTCATTATTGGTCATATTACAGGCTCAGAATACTCAAAGTATTTTACTTAATAAATTATTTTTGCCTGTATTCACAATAGTTCCAGCATGTCTAATTCTTGTCATCTGTTCTGTGTAAAATGCCCCATTCCATTATATTCCTCTTTTAGATATACAATGCTCTTATAGAACAGAAAATACATCTCACAAAAGTGGAAGAGTGGAACTAATGGGCTCTCCTCTATCACTATATCTCATTCGTGCCCCCATCTTAAACTGCAGATTCAGAGATGAATTTGTCTGCACATAACCTACATATTTAGAAAAAAATGCTTTTTTAAACACTGAAATCCAAAATCATAAAATAAAGTGTTTCTGGAGTTGCTGGATTATATATTTCTGTAATACGAGGCCCTAACATGTTCCCAATTGATCACTACTACATTGTAAGGAACTAATCACCTTCATAATTTTCAAGACTAAATAGGAGGACAGATGGTCCTTTCAAGTTGAAAGTTCAGCTGCCCCTCCCATAGCAACTGCACTGCTTTAAATGATTAGGGAACCGTGGAAGCCAGGAAATGTTTATTGTTTTGGAAAGAGGGTGGGCCAGGATGGGATTTCACTTTCACTTTTTCCTGAAGGAAAATATGCCCCAGCCAATTTTATGTGACATATCAGAACCACAGTCTGCATTTGCCAACTGTCAAGACATCCGATGGTTAAGGCAACTGTGGAAGATAGCAATGAAGTCAGCTGACCCCCAGTCAAGCAAGTGCCAATTATAGTTTGTTTTAAGAGTGCTGGAAGGCATGGCCAGAAGCCAGCTGCATGGGGAATTGACAGGGGCTGCTGAAAGGGCATGGAGCAAAGACTAAAGCCTGTGAAATTCCAGAAATGGGATTGATCCATCAGCATTGATGGAGAGGATGGCCGAGATGTCTCAAAGATGACTTATTCTCTGTGCCAACCGAACTATGTTTTCATTTATAGATCAAAGTCATTATGTATGTGAGGGATGCCAGAGTATGAGGAAGATTTATTTTAGGTTTTTAACATGTTTTTAATTAGGAAAGTCACCATTCACACCATCTACTGATAGCTGGCTTGGCTTTTGTCTGTGTGCAACACAAACCACATCCTAAGGTAAGGAGAAACATAAGTGTTCTCTTGTATAGCTAATTTCCTGGTTCACTGTAAAATGAAGATACTGAATGCTTCAAATGACATTATATATCTCATCACCCCCAAGTAGAACTGGTTCAAAGTGTTGGGGTAATTTGGAAACACTAAATGGTTCTTTCCTAGATTCTGTTGTGGGACAATCATTTTATGTGCTGTGAAGATGTAGCATTGCCAAGGCACCTTCTGGTTGGTTTAACAATGAGCTGAATGGCTGATAGACAGGAAAGAATAGGTGGGACTTCTGGGGAAAGAGAGGAACTCTGGATGAATCTAGGCCAATGAGACTCAGAAGGAGTTAGACATACAGAATGGAGGAGAGGTAAAGAGCCAAATGGCAGAACATAGATTAATAGAAGTGGGTTAATTTAAGTTGTAAGAACTAGTGGGGCAAGACTAAGCTAAAGCCAAGCTTTCATAATTAATCATAAGTCTCCATATCATTATCTGGGGACTGGTGGTCCAAAATAAAGGTCTGATTAGAAAGCTGGCTACATTTGGCATCCAATGGGGAAGCCTGGCCCATATATCCAAACACAGGGTCTGAGAAAACTGAGAAAAGTCACAGACATAGAGCCCCTTTGCTCATGGTGTACAGAGGCACAGCCCCTTTAAAAGGCCCTGCTGTGCAGCTGAGTACTGGAATATAGCACTACTAGATAGAATGGGAGACTAGATAGAAAAACCCGCCACAGCATAATCCCAGCAACTTCCCAGAGCTGGAACAGGTAAGTGCTCTCAGCTGGGGCCCTCAGGCAGGAGGCTTAGCTCTGATGTCCTGAGGCAGGGCAGAGCCAGCCACCATGTGCTAAAGAGAGACACATGGCAGCTGCCACAGACATTTAAGATTTGCCTCATGGGCCAGGTAATGCATGACTTCTATCCCAGCACTCAGGAGACAGAGGTAGGCGGATCTCTGTGAGTTTGAGGCCAGCCTGGTCTATAGAGTGAGTTTCAGGACATGATCCAAAGCTACACTGAGAAACCCTGTCTCGAAAACAAAAAATAAAATAAAGAAAAGATTTGCCTCACACAGGCAGAGAAGATTGCAGACACACAGAAAATCAGCTCCAGAACGAGACAAGCTCTGATCAGGTACAGTATGCTTGAAACTGCATAGCTGTTGAAGAAAAAAAAATAGAAAATGAGTATAGACAGTCATAGAAAAAATAAATAAATGGTTTGAAAATAATAAAGTCTTTAAAGGGAGAGTAAAGTAGTGTAAGGAGAAGAAGCCACATAAGGATGGGAAATATTATAACACAGGGTGTCTTCATCCTATATAGTGCTTTGTTAACTATAATTATTTTTTAAATTTTAATGAGAAAGGAATGACAGCTGTGGAGACACACTGGATAGTAGAAAAAAACTGCTGAATTAAATCAACCTGTATACTTTAAAGATGTGTTTGACCTCAGAACAGAAACCAGGATATGTGTTAAATTGAGGAAGAGGTTTTTGCTTTTGTTTCCACAGGAGAATAAAAGCTTTGGATACCGTCAAGATTGATAAAGATTACATTCTAACAGGAGAGACTTCTTGATTAGGAGAAAGGATAGTTCATCAAACAGCATGGTGATTCAATCTAAACTAACTTATAAGACTAACAAATGCCTTTCATTTGATCAGATATAACCTCCCCCAAAGGGGAACTCCCCAAAGTTAGGGTTGGAGCAGGGTTTTGTTTTTGTCTTTCCAGGAGAATAAAAGCATCCACCTAAGGAATCTGAAGACCACTGGACAAAGGAGACATTGGAAGAAAGACAAATCATCAAGAGAAAAATGTCCCAAGAAAAAGTAATTTGGCCTAATGGTATAGCACACTTCTAACATGATAGAAATTCACAAATCTTCCCAAATGTTTGTTCCTGCTGTTCTCTACAGACACATAAGGAAAATGGTCTTTTTTTCAGTCCCAACTCAATTGAAAATTAAAGCTGACTTTGGAGTTGGTGCTTGGCTCTCTCCTTCTCTAAACCTAAGCACACTTGCTAAAGGAAAATCCAACATCTCTGTCTCATGTCAGAAAAACCAATGGTATGGGACAGAAAAAACAAAAATGAAGAGAGTATTGTATTGTCACTAATCACATAATCCTTTGTTTTTATTTTGACACTTTAAAACTTTTCTTAAGATATAAATAGTATCTCAAAGTTTATAAGATTATTATTATCTATATATAAACTTTCTGTCATGATGTTAAAGGTCATATAGAGTACTAAATAATTCTAGAAATAAGCTTCATCTAGCTTCCTATTATTTCAGTTTTGAGTCTGAAGCAGGTAAGTAGGAGGTATTTAGCAGATTGTGGGCCTTTAACTTCTCAGGGATCTGCTGCATATGACATATAAAATGTTTAAGTTTTCTTCAGTGAACTGTGACCATTCCTGGCAGTGACCTTTGAGATCTCCAAGGAGATGATGGGGTCCTACAATGAAAATTCCATCTGGATAGTGGTAACACCACTAAGCTGACAAACAGTACCCAAAGGTCAGTTTTGTATTACAAAATGCTGAAGACAACTTCAAAGTGGTTAGCTACGATGGTCCTGACTCACAGACTACACCAGTCAGGACTTAAGAGAAGCCCTGCACTTCCCCATCACACCAAAACTGGACAGGGGACAGCTCTCCCAGGACTTGACCATTACCTTAAGTTTCTCAGGGTCCCTCAAAGATGCTGTCTGTCACCCCAAGATGACAGAAAGTAATTTTAATAACATGATGCCCATACTCCCAAGAGACAGGGTGGGTGGTTTTTTGTCATTTGGTGGGTTATGGATGTTTATCATGGTTTAGGGGGGTTGGTTACAAGTTGTTATCAGTTATAGTCAGGGAGGAAACTAAGCAAAGGAGGTTAGATTCAGGGATCTCTTTCTGAAAAGATAAAAAGTGGAGGATATAGGAATGATATGATAAAAGGATAGATTACTGAATCTACTTTTTAACTAAAAAGGAACTATTAATCTCAAATATTTTACATTGGTATATATTTTTGTATATTGATACAAATTTAATGCTATTCTTGTTATACTGTATATATGTTTCTACTCTTATTTAAGATATGTTTATATTTTGATACAAATTTAAGGCCATTTTTTAGAACATACTGTACATATGTTTCTACTCTTGTTTAAGGTATTGTACCTATGCAGCTCATTTAAAAATGTAATGTAGAGTTCTAGTACTTGAAAGTTATTATTATAAACTCTTTAGAATAATTAAGAAATGCAGGTTAGTAGTTAGTAATCTATGAAATCAAACTTGTAGTCATGTTAGGTATGTTTTCAAGGTCGAACAGAGATATATTTTAGTTAGACAGAGAGATGGTCTTCAAATACTTCAGAGGTCTAGAGAATATGGCATTTAAGATGTTTTAATAACATAAGGCTTTTTTATGACAGTGAGATACATCTGCTCCTAGCAGCACAAATCTACTTTAGAGAAGATGATGGACATAAAAAAAAAAAAAAAAAAAAAAAAAAAAAAAAAAAAAAAAAAACCCTCGATATGGAGTTTGCTTTCATTGTGGCAAACTAAGCCACTGGACAAGAAACTTCCCTTGCCTCGGTTCCTGACAGTATCCTGTCCAAATTTGGACAAGCAGAAAACAAAAGAAGGTGATTGCCAAACTTTGCCAAGACAAGGTAGGACAGTCCTTCAAGATTCCTGTTTCACAGAAAAGTTATACATATATTCTAGGCCTGGAAGCAGAATATGGATGCCCCAACACTACAGAGGAACCTTAGGTAACTGTCAAGGCATCCAGCTGTCTCTGTCATTTCTTAGTTTGGAAAGTTGTTTGCTCTGTACTTTCTGCTTACTCAGGTAATATTTTATCCTTCTTGGGTCTCTGCTAGGGTTGAAGACTAGATAGTTATACCATTTTGTTTGTTACCAAATTCAAAAAAGAAACTTATAGTAGAGATGTAAAGCTTAAGTTTTTTTTTTTTTAATCTAAGAATTTGTTTTAAGGTCTAAAAGGACATTTTTAAGTTGGTAATACAAGTTATGATAGAAAGTGGTTTAGGTATAAAACTTTATATCCAAGATAGGATAGATAATAGAGTATTTTATCCAAATTTGCCAAATACAAATGGCATTGTAAATGTAATTCTTACTTGATGATTGTTCTTATTGCATATAGTTTTACTGTGTTAGAGTTGAAACTTATCCTTTTTTATTTTAACAAAAGGGGGAAATGTTGTGGGATAATCATTTTGCACACTGTGAAGATATGCCCTTGCCAAGATGCCTTCTGATTGGTTTATTATAGAGCTGAATGGCCAATAACTAGGCAGGAGAGAATAGGTTGGACTTCAGGGAGAGAGGAACTCAGGATGAATTTAGACCCTGGAGGGAGAAGACAGCAAGACACAGAGATTGGATGTACAGAATGAAAGAGGGGTAAAGAGCAATGTGGCAAAATGTACATTAATAAAAATAAGGCAGCCGGGCGGTGGTGGTGCACGCCTTTAATCCCAGCACTCGGGAGGCAGAGGCAGGCGGATCTTTGTGAGTTCGAGGCCAGCCCGGGCTACCAAGTGAGCTCCAGGAAAGGCGCAAAGCTACACAGAGAAACCCTGTCTCGAAAAACCAAAAAAAAAAAAATAAAAATAAAAAAAAAAATAAGGCATGACAAGAAAGCTGCTTACAGGAATCTAAAAGTTTTTTTTTTGTTTTGTTTTTATCAAAGACAAAGGAAGGTTATTTGGTTGCTATATTTGTATAAGATAGCTTGGATTGACCCATGCATATATGTAATCCCCCAGAATATTGCATTTCATGAGGAATTAAGCTATTTAAATTTGAGGCAGTGGCTCTCTAATGGAGGCATGGTAGGTAGAGCATGGTGTATTTACAAATGAGATGAGAAATTCCTTGAATTGCCTTATGGGTGACTTGGGCCAATTTTGATAAGTTTTTAAAATGGAAAGTTAGCTAAAGAAGATATATATATATATATATATATATATATATATATATATCATGATAAATATATATATATATATATATATATATATATCATGACACACACACATATATAGCAGTGAATTTTTCAGTTCAAATGTTACAGATATGTAATTTCCACAGCCATGAGAACAAAGCAAACAACAATGGCATGACAATGCCCTGGAGGAAGCTCTACCTATTGGCTCTGTGCAGGGGATATAAATGTTCTTTCCGCAGTACTTTGCTGTGCTGTTGAAACGATGGGCATGTACAATAAAGATGAGCATTGTAGCTACCAAGGCTTTCAACTAGCTAGTTAAAGGCACTACTTAGAAGATCATTGCACCATATATATGGCCACTCATTGTAACCATCCAAGAATATTTAATCTGTGTTTATTCTTGATATTGATGCCCAGAGATGGTAACACACTTATTTGCAGGTATGTCTGGTTGGTTGTGCTTACTTCTTAGGTGGTGTTAATGTGCACCAGCAACTGCATTACTGATCTAGATTGATGAAGTGGTTCTTAAACTCCCAAGAGTGGAAGAGGTTCTGGCATGTTTGTTAAAAAATATGTCTGAAACTAGAGAACTAGCACAGTGGATAAAGAGCTCTCTGTGTAAGCATGGGGATCTGAGTTTGGCTCTCTGGAACCCTCACAAAGATAAGCATGGCAGCCTACATCTCTAGTTCCAACAGTTCTCTGGTGGGACAGAAGATGGTGGCAAGAGAACTCCTAGGCAATCACAGGAAGCTAGTCTTGAATAGGCAATGGCAGAACAAGAAGAGACCCTGTTTCAAACAAGGTACAAGGTGAAGACTATCACCTGCGATTGCCCTCTGAACTCCACATACCTGTAATGGTGCATGTGCAACTGAAAACACAGATGAGCACGCACACACACATACACATGTGCACACAAACGTTCATATACACACAAAGGTCCTTTAAATGTTTGTCTAGCTAGTTAACTCAGTTGATTTGAATTAAGGTAATTTATTTATTTTTTTTTTTTTTTCCTTTTTTTTTTCCGAGACAGGGTTTCTCTGTGTAGCTTTGCGCCTTTCCTGGAGCTCACTTGGTAGCCCAGGCTGGCCTCGAACTCACAGAGATCCTCCTGGCTCTGCCTCCCGAGTGCTGGGATTAAAGGCGTGCGCCACCACCGCCCGGCAAATTAAGGTAATTTATGATGAATTATATTCTGGGGGAGAAGGAAAAACACAGACAAAAATCAGTTTCCTCTTCCTGTCCCAAAAAGGGGAAAGTGATTTAGTTTCTTTCTTTAATAGTGGACTTATAACTTGATGTTACCAACTTGAACTATGTGAAAGTTCATATGAAACACATAATTCTTAATTTTCTAACATTTGACAACATTCATGGAAACAAAAACCTTTATAGAACTGGTGATACAATTGTCTTGCCACATTCAATAAGGAGGGTAGGTCCACATTCCCAAAGACAGACCTATAGTTGATAGAAGAGAGAAAGAAAAGGAAGAAGGAAGGAAGGAAGGAAAGAAGGGAGGGAAGGAGAGATGGAGAATGATGGACACACAGGTACACATGTGAGCATGTGCACACACACACAAACATAGAGAGAGGGAGAGGGGGAGGGGAGGGGGAGGGAGAGGGAGAGAGAGAGAAAGAGAGAGAGAGAGATCAAAAAAACATATTATATTACGGTAGAAGGGTACACTCATAAACAAAGTAAATCTTATAGAATTCAAGAAGGTTCTTCCTTTTTCCCAACTATGATTGCTTTAACACACAAAATTTTATTTTAAAAATGAACTTTGTTATAGATCTAGCAACTCCATTCTTAGGCATCTACCCAAAGAAATGAAGACATGTCCTCAAAAGATATGTATGAAAATACTTACAGCAGCTTCATTCATAGTAACCAAGAATCACAAGTAATCTAAATGTCTTTCAATAGGCTAGTGAAGAAAATGAGTTATGATATTAACTAAAAAAAGATAAATGTCAAAAAGACTTATTAAGAGAAGTTTGAAATATATAAAATATAACATACTATTTATATGTAATTAAATGAAATTCTATAAAAATAAAATCCATCTATGGTAATAGAAATTAAAGCAATGGTATGTTATGATAAGCAGATTGACCAAAATGGGTTGATTTTGTTTTAGAATCAGTTTTTACAATTATTAATTTTTATTATTTAGAATACAAATCAATCTTGGTTTCATGATATTAAAAGTTCACAAATCTCCTGAATATAACATGTTAAATTTAGATTTAGTCAAATGAATAATTCTGCTTAATATAAATCATAGAGAACACCATTACTGGCTATAGATAAGTCACACAATTTGATTAAAAATAATAAATTAGGGCATGGAGAGATATCTCAGTGATGATGAGCACAGATCTCTGCTCATCACATGGCAGCTCACCATCATCTATAATTCCAGTTCCAGGAATCTGATAATCTGATACCCAATTCTCATCTCATCAAGCACCAGACATACAAATGGTACACACACACACACACACACACACACACACACCTCATTTACATAAAATGAACTAATTATAATGAATTAGCTTGAGTATGCATAAGCACCCAAGAATAATAAAACTGATGTTGAAGTAGATGCCAGAGCAGATCCTTAGCAAAACAACCACACAATAGTTAACATGATTTACTCTTTAATACAACATGTCATCAGGGATAACATAGGAAATAATTATGAATAATTTGCTTGCAATTCTCCATAAAATGAAATGTTATGAGGAAGGGAGGGGCAAAAGGGGGGAATTTGATTACTTAGGAAAATGAAATAAGACTTGACATGGGTATGAAACTCATTTTGGTGCTTAAAATACTAACACCTGTACACAAGACTGATGAGCCTCATTATTTGTATTTCTTTGAGATATTTATTTCTTGCACTACAAGTAAAGGGTTCAATTAGAAATTATCTGTTGTGAATTGAATATCTGTCAGGGCCTGTCTTGGTTAAATGTGAAAAAGAACAGTATAAATCTTTACTTTTAACAAAACTCTATACAACCTCTAAGTGGCTCTTCTTCCTTCCTCTTTCCATTCCTCTCTTTTACCGTTATCCCCTTTCCTCTCTTTCTTCCTTTCATTTTTCCCTTTCTCCTTCATTTATTTTTCTTCCTTTGTGTGAAAAAAATATAACTGCCCAGGAAAATATATATTGGAATACTGGAGATTGAAGCTACTTTGTAATGACTGTGTTCATTTGTTTATTTATTTTATGTTTTGAGAATTTTGTATATGAGTACTCTATTTACATTGCTTCCATCCACTCAGCAATGTGTAAGAGTTTCCCACGAGACACTGGTTTTGAAGGATTGAAGGGACCATGGAGAGAAGCTGAGGCTTGGCACCATGTGAGGCTATTGGTGAAGGTTAAGTAACAGCTGCAGTGGGAACCTGAGGATTGAAAGGGTCACAGAGAGAGGTTGAAGCTTGGCACCATATGGCAGGTTTTGTGTCCCTGAAGAGAGGTCAGCATACTATTGGTATAGGTACAGTTTGTGGATGCTTCAGCATATTGGAAATACCTGACTGTGGGATGACTGCCAAGGATACCTGCAGCTATGGAGTGAAGACAGTCTGAGCCTATGAGAAGAACTATGTGTGTCATGAATGGCAGAGCTTGAGAAGTGGAGCTAGCCAAAACCTTTGGAGCCCAGAAAATCCTGAGTGAATACCAGCTGTAGGACATTGAGCTCCAGAATTTGGTTCACATTTTTGAATTTTGATTTTGTTCTGATCTGATTATAACAGTGTCCTGGTTCTTCATTTTTGAAATAAGAAATATATAAGTTTCTTTTAGATTTTATTTTATAGTTACCCACAGTCAAGAGACTAAAAGAACTGAATATATTAAAGAGCTTTCACATTTAAAGTGAATGAACTTTTAAAGACTTTGGGACTTTGTAAATTATACTGTGTTTTATATTGTGATGTTGATATTTATGTGTGATCATGGGGATAAACAGAAAAGGAAAGTGTATGGTTTAATAGTAATGTATTAGTCTGTCAAGTTGACAGAAGGTCATATGTGTTATTCCGATGTTTGTTAACATGACACAAGATGGAGTTATCTAAGAAAAGGAATCTTAGTTGGGACAATAAGCTTCATTATATTTTCTGTAGGGAGTTTTCTTCATCAGCTGTTGATATAGGAGAATCCAGCTCACTCTGTGTGGTCTTACTTCTAGGCAGTATAAGAAAACTAGGCTAGTCAAGCCATGTGGAACAAGCCAGTAAAAAGCACTCACCTAATGGCCTCCATGTCAGTTTCTGCCTCCAAGTTTCTACTGCCAGGATTTTGCCCTGAGTTCTTTGCCTAGTTTCTCTTCATGATGGGCTGTAACCTGTAGAGTGAAATAAGCCCCATACCTCCATAGTTGCTTTTGGTCAATGTCTTATCACAGCAATAGAAAGAAAACTAAGATAATACCATATATGTGATATTTTCATGTACAGTTGAATCAGGTTGTGTGCAACATAAAAATTGTCTAACCTTCAATGAATTGTCTCTTTGTTTCAATAGTCTTCTTTGCAGGTGGGTGTCATTCACAAACTGGTACTTGAAATAATTTAATGATAGCTTCACATGATAATGGCTAGTCTCTTTTTCTGTCTCCCAGACACAACAAAAAGAGAAACAGCCAAGTTGGTTACACCCTGGCCAAGTAGCATTCAGTGTATTACTTACTGTACAACCACCCTTTTAAAGTCATTGCGTAGCTCAAAGTTTTTTTTTTTTTTTTTTTTTTCAGAAATTCCTCTTCAAGTCACAGCAAGCCTTTCAAGCAAAATATTGAAAGAAATACAGGGCCTCAGAGTCCTCTCCAGTCAAGCCAGAATCTCTGGGATCTCTGTTATGTTTATGAAAACAGTGGGCAAGTTCCTGGAAAGTGATGGAGAAAACCTGCAGATGGTAGACTTCCCAGAAGTCTGTAAACTGAGCAAAGCTTCCCCTTCTTGTTCAAGGGATGTAGCTTTTAATTAAAGTTTGCACCAACTTGAACCTTGCTCTACAGTGGCACTTGCAACCCCAGTTATTTGTGTATTTGTTACGCTGTGATTTCTTCGTCTAGTTTTCTTTGCTTAACTTTTTAATGTAATAACCACCAGAGGGCGAAAGATATCACACTTCAAAGCATTTAGAGGGCTGTTTTAGCCAGGAACCCAATGCTGGTAAGCTTCACAGGGAGTGGAAAGCTATAAAGCTGAGCAATGAAGCCTGTGTGTGCTTCCATATTAAAATCATACCTTTCACTTTGTGTTTCTTCTTCTCTGGTTTCCCTTTCGGCGGGATTGTTTCTGATGCTTGTCAAATAGATTTCCTAGTCAAGCAGATTAAACTGCTTCATTTTAACTTTGCATGAAGTTAGATTATGCCTCATTTACTTTGGATCACCTGGAGTTTAAAACCATATGGGAAACATTCTAAAGATCCTTTTACTGTGTATGTCCATGCCTTCATGGTATTTCTTTATCAAAAACACCAAGGAGTCATTTGAAAAACCATATACCATCTGCTGACTTATCAGATCTTGTTTATTTTCTTGACTAGATTGTTCCAAATACTGTCCTATAATCCAAGGATATGTTGGCAAATGGGACACACTGAAGCTGAATACCTCATCTAGGACCCTCAAGGCCCATGAAAACATCAGGAAGCTCTTGGTTTGTTGGAGGAAGGGCAGGTGCATGTAAAGTCTGTGCAATTGATCTCAGCAAAATAATTTTCTAAGTATGGCATACTTCCTAGGACCTCTGTCTCCCCTGACTGTACTGCATGGCATATAATAGCTAAGAGGAGAGATGTTATGTACCGAGTATGCAAACATATTCCAGAGCTCCACTCTTCATCCTTATTAGCCACACCCTCTTTCATTCTGAAATTACTTGGCCACCACATTTATATTCACAGACTATAGAACAGACTGTATAATCCAGACTCAGATATTCTACAACTATCGCTCTTTAGGCTCACAAAATTCTCTATTGTTCTCCTTGGTAGTTCCTTGAATTTAAAGGTGTCCCAGAATAGCTTCCCATGATGTCACAAGGTAGCAAGCATAGTGTTCTAATCATGTGATAATCTTATACAATGAAGTCAGCAAAAGAGACTTCGGTGGTCCGTGTATACTCAAGATCCCTCCTGAAAGCCAAGTGAATCAGCATTTCAGAACATCTGCAGCTTAAACCTGTCAAACCATACACTACACATGCTATAATGGAAGCAATGGGCTCATATGAGTCTTGTTTTCCCCACTCCAGATTTTCCTTTAGCCATCTTTCACAGGCAGTCTGATTCATGGCTAGAAATACCCTAACTAGCCACATGGCTAGGGCTTCCTTCATCGAAACTTCAGAATATGCTCAGCACATCCTGCTCTGTGCATACACCTGAAATCCCCAAGTCTGATGAAATCCACCATGGAAAGGTGTTAAGGTTTTACCTTTCCTTGGCAAAGTGGAATAAGATGTAGGAGAATTTAGAAGGGAAGGGTTCAGAAGTGGAATCCATTCAGATGGTGATTCCTCTGCCTTAGGTGAGGTGGCTATTATTCTGCCTTTCCCCTAAAACTAAACAGAAAAACAATACTCCTTCCTCCAAAGGAGCAATTTTACAACTGAGGTGTCCTAGAAGGCCATGATCCCATATTAGGGCAAGCTTTTCTGCATGTCTGTTTGGGCAATACCCAGACTTCATTTTCATCGTCTATAGATATCAGAACTGGAGTATTTTCAGCACTTAAGAGAGGAAGTAGAGCATATTTGGGTCTGAGTTTAGTTTTGCCACTTAGTCCAGTGTTTACATAACCAAGGGAAATTGCTCAACCTCTTTAATCTTCAGTTTTCTGGCAAGGGGGAGTGTGGGGATTCAATGGAAAGATGGCTCAGCACTTAAGAACATTTGCTGATCTGGTAGAGCACCTAAATTTAGTTCCTAGCACCCTCGCTGAGAGACTCACAATGAGGCATTAATACCCTCCAGAACACTTCTTTCACATCACAAATCCATCACATTTACCATCACCTTGGTTTCTAAGAAAAATATCAACTTTTCAGTTGTTAAAAATTCTTTTTTTCGGCCGGGCGGTGGTGGCGCACGCCTTTAATCCCAGCACTCGGGAGGCAGAG